ACTACGGGTGCGTCCACTTTGACTCCCTATTGGTCAGTCTACGGATTCCTCTTGACCCTTTCTTGGTGGAGTTCGTGAACTATTAGGGCATAGTCCAAGGTCAAATAGCACCCAATGGACACCATATACTTGCATGTTTACCTTAGATAAACCTAGTGGTACCGTGAACCTCTCCGAGCGTCCACTCTATTGTTCCAGCTGAGTCCGCCGCCTCCAAATCTCCTTCACAAAATAGTTGACTATGTTGGGGAGTAGTTCGCCCAATCCGTGGCCCAAGTACATGTTCGGCTAGTTGGTCCCCTTTTTTTGTATACATGTCAATTGCTTCCACTGTATCCGTTTGTGCATATGTCAGTCGCCAATAGAGTTGCTAAGCTATTCGTTCGGGCTCGGATCTCCGCCATGGAGCGTGATGAGGAGTTGAGAAAACTCAAGGATGCGTTGAAGGAAAAAGACGAACGGCTGTGGACTTTGATGCAATATCTAAGCTCCGATCAGTTTCATCAGGACGCATTGCTCAATTTGCTTCTTGACCAGCTAACCTGGTCTCAGCTATTTGCTCATTTGAGGATGTTGCACTCCCCTTGTTTCAAGCGTTGCAGCGTGATCCAATGGGGTTGAAGATGCTCCGTAGGATGACTGCTTGGGGTTCCCATCTGGGGAAGAGGGTCATGTAGAGTACCTTACATCAAGCTTTAGAGGAGGCCCTTCTGGACGATTGGGATCAGGTCCGCATTTTCCTGCCCATGGACATAGCACCACCCGGTCTGAAACCCTGCACGACTCCCAAGCAAACCTGGCCAACCCTTCTATTGCTGCTTCCAGCAACCAAGGCCTTTAAGTTGTTGAATTATCTCTTGCTTTGCACTTATGTTGATTGTTAGTTCGTAGTCTTGAACTTTGTTTTCTAGAGGCCGACATCGTTCTTATGCCGGTTAGACTAATTATTTTTACTAAGTATCCCTAATTTTTTCATCACATATGATCTATACGTTGCTTTTCCTCTTCGTGTTTTATCCGACCGACAAAGTGCCACCCGCTCCGATTGCCATGATGTTTGTCCTACAAAAACATGGCAACTTGGTTGCAAAAAATCCAGTTTATAAGTTAAGTATGATAATTAATCCTCAGCCATGCAGAGTACCTAGCGGGTAATGCTTATGAGGTCACTTGTTTAATGCCAACTTAATGGTAAAGACGCGTGACAAGTGGATATAACCAACTGATCAATTGGGAAAGACCATGTCGATCGGGTAGGGAATATCATATGTCCGGGAATCAATAAGTACAGTGAACTTAATTACATACTCGACCGGGCAAGACCATGCAGGTAGGGCCGGGATAATTCAACCAGACAACCTCAAACGGAAAGGCCGGGAAATAACAAGTGAACTTAATCACGCACTCGACCGGGAAATACTGTGTAGGTAGGGTCGGGATAACTCAACCCAGCAAAACCTCAAATTGAATGGCTGGGATACACCAAGTGAATTTAATCACACTCGATCGAGCAAGACCGTGCTGGTTGGGTTGGGATAACTCAACTGGAGAAAACCTCAAACGCAAAGGCCAGGAGATTTTTGTTCTTTTAATTTCGGGCTTTTTTTTTTTTTTTTTAAGCGTCAAATAGGTCATTGAACTATTAGGGTTTGTGCAATTGAATTGAACAAAAAAAAAGTGTGCAATTAAACCATTTAACACTATAAATTTCTACATATAACATTTTTAGCCTGTTACTTTCATATTAAACCGGTAATATGAATAACTTGTCGTCTTGTATGGCATATTTTTACACTATGGCACAAATTTTAATATTTAAATCAATTTACACAGGATATTTTCAATTAACATTATCCTAATTCATATTTAAAGGTGAGTTTTTCTCCTATACGAACTAAACTTAGGGTTCACTCCTACACCAACGCATGAAAAATCTCTCCTCCAATAACGAATCGAAAACCCTAACTTGTTCTAGAGAAGCATTGCCTAAAATTGTTTTCCCATGCATCGCCTGAGGTTGTCTTCCCCTTGCATAGCTTGAAGTTGTCTTCCCCTACATTAACTGATCTTCCCCCTGTATCCAGTAAACAACTTTTTGAAATAGGAAAACAATGTCAACATCTTCAACATCAAATGGAAGAAGAAATCTCTAATATGAGCCAAAAATGTTTTGTTGATGTAGGTTGAAAGCCTCATTGTGCATATCTCGTGAAAGTGGGCGAAAGGTTTTTAGTTGTCGAAATTGGAATTTGAATGTAAGTTTTATATTTGTTTTTAGACTTTACAAGGCCCCATCGAATGTAAGTTATCTATTTGTCAAAATTGGAATTTGAAGGTAAGTGTGGTTGCATAAAATTGCAAGGCACTTCAAATTTTAATTTTTAATGATATAAATTCTACAGATTTCAATTAGTATTGAAGGAGTTTTTTTTTTTCTTTTTTTTTCTTTTCTTTTTTTTGAAGGAAGATGATGTGTTAGAGGTAGAAAGTGACCCCTCCAAATATATTTTACATGATTTGAAGCAGGGTATTTCTAGTTTGAAGGAAGAAATGTCTTCAATGAGAAATGATAGAGTTAATTATCAAAATGGTCCCTTGGCTATAGTAAAATTACCAATTTGGTCCTTGACTATTTTTTTAACTAATTAAGTCTCTCAACTTTAAAAATCTTAACCAATTTGGTCCTCCGTTTGTTTGACCATTAGTCAACCGTTAACTTGGAACCAAATTGGTAATTTCGCTATAGTCAAGGGACCATTTTGATAATTTATAACTTTAGGGGTGGACAATTCAGTTTAGTTTTCTCGAACTGAACCGTACCAAACCGAACCGAACTAATTTGGTTCGGTAATATACCGAACAACCGAACGGTATTGGATTCTTGTATACCAAACGGTTCGATAAAAAACCGATCCGAATTGTTCGGTAAAAAAATGAACTGAACCAAATACTGTTTGATTTTTTTAATAATAATAATAATAATAATAATAATAATAATAATAAATAAATAAATAAAAAGTAAATCCAAGTTCCTTACTGCTTGCTCTGTCGTTCAACTCATATTCTCAAGGGTATCTCTCGTAAATGTGTTATGGTGTTTACATAGTCCATATTCAAAGTCTAATATATAACAAAATAGCAATCCAAAGTTCAAACGGTATTCGGTTCGGTTCGGTTTTTAACGAACAAATTCAGTTCGGTTCGAGTTTTTACCGAACCGTTCGATATACAAGAATCTATTACCGTTCGGTTGTTCGGTATATTACCGAATCTAACTAGTTTGGTACGGTTCGGTTCGACAAAACTGAACTGAATTGCCCACCCTTAAAGTTAATTACCAAAATGGTCCCTTGACTATAGCAAATTATCAATTTGGTCCCAAGTTAACGGTTGACTAACGGTCAAACAAACGGAGGACCAAATTGGTTAAGATTTTTAAAGTTGAGGGACTTAATTGGTCAAAAAAATAATCAAAGACCAAATTGGTAATTTTGCTATACTCTAACTCGAAATGACATTGAGAAGATAAAGATTTTATTTTAAAGGTGAAGCAAGGGAAAGGGAAAAGTGCAATAAGATGTGCAAACATGTAGTGATTGATTTTGCCTTTGGATTTGGAGTTTTATTTTTCTTTCAAAGTAATGGTATTCAGTTGGCATTACCTTAACATTTATAGTGTAAATCTTCTGATAATGTTATGAGAACAATGCACTTTTTATTTTTAAATCAAAGTGTAGCCTTTCTTTGCATATATTCTCACTTTTTGTACTATGCTTACTTCCTAGTGGGTCACCCATCATGTGATTGTTGTAAGTCAAGCATGCTTAACCATAGAGTTCTTTGACTATCTGGTTGTCATATCCTATTTAAAATCAATTGGTGATAAGTAGGTGAATATTAACCATTTAACCACATCCCTATATGGTAAGCCACAACGTCACGTCTCGAATCAAGCAGGGGTTGAACTTGGCCGACCTGGCCGACGCCTAACAAAGTAATGTGAATAGAAAAATTATGTGTCAGTGCATTTTTATTTTATTTGAGACTTGGATTTTTATTTTGATATTAGATGCTAAGAGTTGACTTATGCAGTTATTTGTATTAATTTTATAGTTGTGTTGTTTGTTTGATTATTGTTTGTGAACGTAGATTATTTTTTGTTCACTAATGAATTGTGATCATGAACATGTGAAGGTGTTTGTTTATTAAGTGTTCACGAACGTAAACGAACATGTTCGTGAACGTGCTTGTTAACGAACATGTTTGTGAACGTGTTTGTTAACGAACATGTTTGTGAACGTGTTTGTTAACGTTAACGAACACGTTTGCGAACGTGTTCACGAAAGTTAACAAACACGTTCGCGAACGTGTTCGTTAACGTTAATGAACATATTCGTGAAAGTTAACGAACACTAATGAATGCTTAACAAATGAACACAAACAGGATTTTCAAAAACCTTAACAAACGAACACAAATAACCTCTGTTCGTTTATGTTAGGTTCGTTAACAGCCCTACTTGCGCCCACATCCCATCTGGGACCCCTTGACGGCCTTAGCTCTGATACCAATTGATGGATCTCAGCACTGTACTATGCTTACTTCCCAGTGGGTCACAAGATTAACAGCCCTACTTGCGCCCACATCCTATCTGGGACCCCTTGACGGCCTTAGCTCTGATACCAATTGATGGATCTCAGCACTGTACTATGCTTACTTCCCAGTGGGTCACTCATCTTGTGACTGATATAAGTCTAGTATGCTTAACCATAGAGTTCTTTACCAATCTGGTTGTCATATCTTACTTAAACCCAATTTGTGATAAATAGGTGGACATTAACAATTTAATCACATCTCTCCATGGTAAGCTACAACGCTACGTCTCGAATCAAGCAGGGGCTAAACTTGACTGACGCTCAACAAAGTACTTGAAACTGAGTGCTACTTGAAACTGAGGACTAAATTAAGTCAAATTTGATTCCCTAATCAAGTTGTCAAAATATGTTTATACACCTTGACTATTATTAATATTACTAATTACTAATATGCAAACATGACATGTTCTTGGGATAATGACATCGCCTGGGATAATCAAACATGTTTGACCCTTAAAACAATCACTTGATCAGACAATGATCATTCCAGTTTTCTACCAAAAAAAAAAAGAAAAAAAAAAGAACAAAATACAAAAACTAGTGTCCACTGCATTTGTCTTTAATTTTTCTTTCGCTTTCCTCCTTCGTTGCTTCTTTCTATAATGAACAAATGTCGCTTCAGGCATTTCAGGCTGTAATAAATAACAAAACCAGTATTAAGGACATAACTAGTAATTCACTCGCGCAATGCACGAAAAATAATTATGTTATTATAAATATAAATAAAAAATAGAAAAACTAAAATATTTTAAATTATTTAATATAATAATATTTTTTAGCTTCCATTGGTCAAGTATTTATTATTTTTATAGAATACAAAATTACAATTAAAATTATAATTATAATTTTGTATGGTTAATATAATCTCTAATTATGTGCATATTCAAATAAATTTATAGAGATAATTTACATAATTACATTGATTTATTCTTAATTGTATTTCATCTATATTATAATTTTCACAATACAAATAATAACTAAGATAATTACATTTGGAGAGCAAATTTCAAATTTTGTATGTGTAAATTTAAACTCTAATTGAACATATTTTTTATATGATTATATAATATATAACTATTTTATTTTTCAAAAGTATATTTTTTATATGATTATATAATATATAGTTATTTTATTTTTTAAATGTTGTGCTTTTTTTTTTCTTTTTTTTTTTTTTAATAATAAAGAATGTTGTGGCATTAATTGTAACATTAATTTTTTCCCAAACCATATAACTTTATTATATAAAGGATAATAGTATTTGAGGAAATTTCATCATACTTTATTTAGCACTTACATTGAAAGCAATTTTTGCAGTTTGAGGATTAGTATTAGTTTCCCTTGAACAACCCTTCTTAGTATGTCATTTTTCTCTACATATCGAACATGTCATTATTCTTCCTGTCCTTGGCCGTTTACCACAATCACGTGGTTCATTCACCTTCGTATTCCTCATCTTCTTTGGTCTCCCGGTCATTCTTCTTGGTATAGGAGCAACCATCTCATCAGAAGTTATTCTTGACTAATTAAGTTCTCCATTTATGGGTTGTAATGTATGTGCATATGTCATTTCATATACCTCTTTGGAGTAGCAATGATCTATAAACTCATCAGGTTGCCTTCTACTGTAAAGTATAGCACATACTACATGGGGGCAAAGGATACATGTTAAATCCCAAGATCTACATGAACATATCATAGCTTGTAATTTTACAGTGAATAACAGTCTACCCCCTTTTTTTCTCATAGCCATCATCTACATTGAAATCCACACGCCACTGAGCACTCTCAATAATATTTTCATTCAACTTCTTCCTAATGAAATGCCTGTAGTCTACACACCACTTCGCGACAGATTTCACTTTGTTGCAACCCTCTTCTTCATCATAGCAACTCTTATATCTTCAAGCATTGGAATTATAAGCTTAGACCTAGCCTTGACAAGAGTTCCATCGGACAGAAACCGATTGAGTACCACCAGTCGGCCGTTCAACCTCTAAACGTCCTTGACCGACCGAGGGGTTGTATCACCATTATAACTCTAACCTTCTCGAGGTTTGGCACAATCCTCTAACCCGTCATCATGAATCCTAAGAATTTTTCCGTCTAAACATCAAAAGCACATTTACTTGGACTCAAACGCAAGTTGAAAGTTTCCATTACTTTGAATTCTTGAGCATGTCGTCGACGTATTCCTTTGTAGTTGACCGGAGCAATCCCTTAAACAACTTGTTTACCATTCGCTGGTAGGTGGCTCTAAAGTTTTGTAGACCGAATGTCATTACTATATAGCAGAAAACATAGTCTGGGGTTATGAAATCAGTCTTCTCTTCATCATCTTTGCACAAGAAAATCTGGTGGTATCCTTTAAAGGCGTCCATGAAACTCAGCAGTTCGCACCAGGCCATCTCGTCAACTATCTGGTCAGGATTTAATAGTGGATATAGATCCTTCGGGCAGACTTTGTTCAGGTAAATATAGTCCATCCACATTCTCCACGTAAGGGGGTTTTGGTTCAAGGACTACGCACGTTTACAACCACTCCGGGTAAAGGAGCTCCCGGATGTGTCCTACCGCCAAGAGGGTAGCGGTTTCCTTTTTCACAAACTCTCTCATTTCACTTGACAAATGCCTCTTCTTCTACTTGACTGGCTTGGAACCCAGTTGAATGGATAAATGGTGCCATATGACAGACCGGTAGACTCCGGGCATGTCCTCTGGGCTCTGGTGCCCAAGCGAAAACATTTTTGAATTTTCATGGCACTCCGATGATGTCTTCTCGTAGATCGACCGGGAAGACCTGGCCGATCCTGACTACTCGCTCTAGTTGGCTGGGGTCAAGTACATTTTATTCCATTTTCGAGGCAGGTCGTGGCTTCTCCTTGACTTCCCATCGGTCGACCTACTAAGATATGGTATGCATTCTAGCGTCCTCACGGTCAGACTACTTGACCGCCTGCACATAGCTAGTCTCCTCGAACCACTCTAATCCCATTAGGCGTGTGGAACTTCATGCACAGGTGATTCATTGATATGACAGCGGCTGGTTGGGAGATGGTTGGTCGACCGAGTATTGCATTGTGAACACATTTCAGCTTGACCACCACGAAGCCCATGGTAGTCATTATCACATTAGGCTAGGTACCTAATTCCATGTTTAGTTTGATGACTCCTGCTTCGGTCGGTCGACAGACCCAACCGGGTGAAAACGTCGAAGTACAAGATGTTTATTGAGCTCGTCATATCAATTAGCACTCGTTGGGCATTTGTTCTGCTGATGTCCATTGTGATGACGAGTGAGTTGTTCTGGGCCCCCCTTTGAATAGGAAAATCTTCATGAGTGAATAATATCAGCTCCACACGCTTTTTCTTCTCTCGGCGTTTCGAGTGGATTGACCCGACGTACAAGTTCCTAGCCCATTGCTTCCTTTAGCGAGAAGAGTTTCCTCCTTCAGGGCCTTTATAGATAACATGGATCACGATTTCTTCCCGACCACTTTGTCATCGAGCGACCCGGGCGGCAACAAACTATTCTCTCACAAATGTTTGTGATCAAGTTGCCTAGATATCAACTTTCCTTGTGCATCTAACATCATTGTCCCAACATTATCATACTTATTAAGACCAACACATTTAGGAATATGACGTAACAAAGAAAATGTTCCATACTTAATGCCACCAATAACATATTCCTTTTCGCAACCAATACATTTAGCCTTTACTTTACGATCTAATATTCTAACTTTAGGAAATGACTTCCAAACATCAGAGGTTGTGGATTTAGCTCTTTCAGGCTTAGGTTGTTCATAAGAAGTTTGTTCTATTTCTTCGTTAGGAGGAGTTGTAGGTTGTTGAGAAATAGGAATTTCGGAGTCTAAATCATATTCGGCATAAATATTGTAGCACTACCATTATTGATCACACTAAGAGATGTCCTTTGAGTAAGGAATGGAAGATAGGAGAATTGATTCAGGATTTCTTAGCTCTCATTTATATCATCACTGATTTATTTTATGATGAAATGAATGATGATATAAATGGAAGCTAAGAAATCGCGAATCAATTCCCCTATCTACCATTTCTAACTCAAATGACATCTCCTAGTGTGATCTATAGTGGTAGTGTTACTGCCTTGAATTTATGTCGAATTTGATTTAGGCTCCGAAATGCCTAGTTCTCAACAACCTACATCTCCTCCTATCGAAGAAATTGAACAACCTAATTCTGAAGAACTTGAGCATAAAAGAGAAAAATAAACTACTTTTAATGTTTGGAAGTCATTTACTAAAGTTGGAATCAATGATGGTAATGTAAAGACTAAGTGTAATGGTTATGAGAAGGAATACTTTGTTGGTGGCTTGAAGTATGAAACACCTTCTTTGTTAGGTCATATTCCTAAATGTGTTACTCTTCTTAAGTATCATAATGTTGAGACAATGATGTTAGATTCACAAGGAAAGTCGAGATCGAGGCAACTTGATCACAAACATTTACATGAGAATAGTTTGTTTTGTGATGGTGAGTTCTTTCATATTCGGTGTTGTGCAGATATATTGAATTTAATTTTCAAGAAGGGTTGAAAGCTGCAAGTTCTAGTAACAAAGGATTAGGTAAAGTATCAAATATGTGAAATAATTTGAAACAAGAAAAATATTGTTTGCAAAATGTGTGGAGCAAGTAGGAGGCATTAATCGTAATACGGGCTTGTGATTAGATGTCCCCACAAGATGGAATTCAACGTATGTTATGGTAGATAGTGCTTTGAAATACCAACATGCTTTTGGGAGTCTAGGTTTACATGATAAGAATTTTGTCACTTGTCCTTTTAAATAAGGAATGGAAGAGAGGGGAATTGATTTAGGATTTCTTGTCTCACTTTTATAACATCACTAATTTATTTTCATACGTCTGTAAATCTAACTGAGGTAGAACCACTGGGATATCGTCTTTGGAAGTCTATCATTTTCCCCAATCCTTTATCGCCGCCTTTGCTGCAACCGAATGACCAGCAAAAGCTGGTGATAAACGCAAGGGAAAGATGACAAAAACTTCTAAGGATATCAACTTTCCTTGTGCACCTAACATCATTGTCCCAACATTATCAAACTTAGTAAGACCAACACATTTAAGAATATAACGTAACAAAGAAGATGTTCCATACTTAATAATGCCACCAATATAATAACATATTTCTTTCCGCAACCAATAAATTTAGCCTTTACTTTACGATCAAATATTCTAACTTTAGGAAATGACTTCCAAACATCAGAAGTTGTGGATTTAGCTCTTTCAGGCTTAGGTTGTTCAGAAATAGGTTGTTCCATTTCGTTGTTAGGAGGAGATGTAGGTTGTTGAGAACTAGGCATTTCGGAGTCTAAATCAAATTCGGCATAAATACTGGTAGCACTACTATTATAGATCCCACTAGGAGATGTCCTTTGACTGAGGAATGGAAGATAGGGGAATTGAATAAGGATTTCTTAGCTCTCTTTTATTTCATCACTGATTTATTTTTTGATGAAATGAGTGATGATATAAAAGGAAGCCAAGAAATCCCGAATTAATTCTCCTATCTTCCATTTCTAACTCAAATGACATCTCCTAGTGTGATCTATAGTGGTAGTGTTACTGTCTT